TGCCCAAAAGGGACAGGCAAGGACAGAGGGCAGGGTGTTTGCCCTACATGTAAAAAAATAGATTCAATGCACTGAACTGTCTTTGAAAACCAGTGATCAAGAGGTTGATGGCTTATAAGTAAAATCTAGGGGCAAGTCAACAAAGGAAAACTCAAGTTTGGTCTTCCTGCAGAGCACCAGAGCAAGGGAAGCTGTTGATGAACTTTTCTTAATTTGACTACAGGAAACACTGTGCTCCCATGCTCCCATCCTGCTGGGGCACTCCTTGATATCTCTTGGAAAAGCAGCACAGTAAGCTGTAAGCAATCCAGGAGACTCCTCGAGGGTGTTGAGGATGATTTCTTAACCCAGGTGACAAACAACTTGATCAGAGGAGAAACATTACCAGTCCTGTTGCTTATCAGTAGGGATGAACTATTGGAGATGACAAAACTGGTGATAGCTCAGACTGCAGCCATCCTGCCCTGGTGGAATTCAGTCTTGAACACCTCTCCTGTGAAGAAAGGCTGAGAGAGTTGGAGTTCTTCAGCCTGGAGAAGGCTTCAGGGAGACCTTATTGCTGTCCTTTAATTTATAAGAAATACGGAGAAAGACTTTTTACTGAGGTCTGTAGTGATAAGAGAAAGGGCAATGGTTTTAAACCAAAAGTGGGTGAATTTAAACTGAATATACAGAGGATTTTTAAAATTATTAGAATGGTTATGAGAAGTTGTGGATGCCCCATGATGGAAGTGTTTGAAGTCAGGAAAGATGGGGCTTTGAGCTTTTACCTCATGTAATGGAAAGTTCCCTTCCCACAGCAGGGGCTTTGGACTGGATGGTCTTTAAAGGTCCCTCCCAACCCAAGTCATTCTATGGTTCTATGATAAACTGTAAACATTTTAGATTTTGTGATTTACTTCCATGATGAACGGAATTTCTTTTTAAAATGGGGACTACTTTTCCTTCTCTATTAATGTTTTTTTGTAAGATTATAATGTTTGATTATAAGATTACACTTGTTTTGATGGTGGTTAGGGTACAAATCAATAAAAACAAGGAAAATCCCATAATGGACCTCCACTCTGGATCTTCCTTACCTATACACATGTTCATCTCCAGAAATACTAACTTTTCCATAAACATGGATACACACACAGAGCATTTATAAAGCCAAAACAGCAAAGTGGCTTTATGCCTGAAAAGAAAACTTTCCAATATATAGCATATAAATAGATAACATGCTGCCTTTCTGGTTCAGTAAATAGCCTGAAAAAGTGCTCTCAGGAGATATGAATTTGTAGTGCCCCCCCCCTTTATTTCACTGAGAGGTTAATTCTGCTGTCTAAATGTAATACTTTATTGTCAGCATGGAAATTGCCATCACAAGGGAAGCAATTGCACTTTCTGCATTTCTTTAGGGATTGGAAAATAAATCTGCACCGAAAGAAAAAAGCCCAATATCTCCTCATGTGTAGAAGGAAGCACCAGGTTACTTGACATGAAAAGCATTGGGAACTTGTGCAATGGCCAGTACACAAACCACCAACAAGCCTAGACAAGTTGGATATGACAAAATAGAAAGCCACACTGGACGTATCCTGCAGACACTGCTGCCCCTGCAACTGGGATGCTGTGCTTGCAGCAGCCAGCAAGAAAATGGCTCAGGAGTATCTCACAGAGATGAATTCAAATAAAACTTTTCCAGCCCTCCATGGTACACTTGTTTCTGGTTCTTGAGCAGTTTAATTCCTAGTCACTTTTGTGTTAATAGTAAATCTGAAAGTGCAAAAAAAAAGCATGTGGCTCCATGACCCATTGGCAGAGCCCATTCCATCAGACCCCTCATTCCAGAGGCACCTGCATGTGAGAAACTTTTTGCAGCTTTTCCAGCCATTGCTGGAGGTAAGACAACCTCCTCCCTGTGTAATAAACAGATTTCTCCTGCTGTCTTTCCCCCACCCTGCACACCACAAACATAGCCCAGCAGCAGTATTTTCAAGCACAAACACGCACAGAAGGACTTAATGCTTTGTGTTGTTATACCCAACCCCCATAAATTCATGCTCATGTAATTACTGCTCTCTGTTTGCCTACTGATAGCGAGTTAAAAATACCACACACACCCAAAATTAGAACTGGTTGCTATTTTTGTTAAATTCCCGCAGTTGATATAGAAGAAAATGTTGTGATGAACCACATGAGATCCCTCTTGCCTGCACTAGTCAGGACAGAAGACTGCAACACTACCAACAAAAAAACCCCACCAAAAGCATGCCATGCACATACCTAGACAAATCTGACTGCGTTATGATGGCATCAGTCCTGTATCCCTTTTCCTTTCTTCATCTGATGCTTGGTTCTTCTACAGTGGGAATGGATTTGAGCTGGGATCTTTTCAATCAGAGCCTGCATTTAAATGCAATGTAAAATCTTTCTGCAATATCCAGATTCCTAGTTTATATTCCAAGGTACTCCTAACTTAGACTAAACATAAAATATTTCTGTTATTTAAATAAAATGTAAAATGATATGCAAGCCATTTCTGTTCTATCCAAATTCCTAATTTATACTCTGAGGTGTCTCTTACCTACAGGGACCTACTTACCATTGATGAAACATTTATTTTTGAAGTCTTTGAAATAACATAAAATTAATCTAATATTAAATAAACACCAACAAATTTCCAACTTATATTCAGTTTGTAAAATCTTTGTCATTTGAGCCATCTCTTTATTACATACAAGTACCTTATTTGCCATTTAAGCTTCTGAGTCCATTTTTAAAAGCTTTGTGGAAGGAACTGTCTGGAAATCCCATAAGGTCAATCCCTTCCCAAGAAAAACTAATGAGAATGTGTTTCCCAGTGCCTTTTTGAGGTGGGGAAGTCAGGACATGCACACAGTTTCCCTTTCACTTCTGATAGGCTTCTCTGAGAAAATAACATTGCACGAAAACACTCCTGAGCTGTTAATGTATTTTGAATTTTGCATCAATAACACAAAGAAATAGCTTGTATGTGAGACCAGGCAAAGCTTCAGCTGGCAGCCACTGGAGACAGAAACTGCATTAGAAAAAAAGAACTACTGTAAAGCTGCATTCTTGTCAATATCCTCTCACACTTTTGCAGCAGCAGCAGAGACAATACCAAATGCAGACATGCCCCTGCCCACTGCACAGGCCTGGATCATCACAGAGAGGCTGGGATAAGCAGATGAACACTTGGCTAAGGACCAAGGAGCAGATTTTCCTCTTTTTTTTTATATATTGAAAAACCAAGACACAATCAAGGTCCCAGAAGGATTTCCAAAAGTGATTAGGAACTCAAGTTCTGTGAGTCAATTGGTCCTTCTGAAAATCCTGTATAGTAGCAAATGAACTGCATCACTGAACATCAAAATACCTCTGTGCTCGTGCTGCTTCTGCTAGGGACCTTGATTTCAGAAGGGCAAAGGTTAGAAATTTCTTCCCCTTTAGTTCACCTACCTTTCCCCAAAATGGGAAAGCTTATCCTCTTCTTGCTTAATGAAATTGTAACAGCCCTATGAACTATTTTAACTGAAATTGTAAGATCAGCACTCAATGCCCTTGCTGTGGCCACCCAAATCTTTGCTTTACAGAAAACAATTTGCTTTCAGTTGTGGTTTACCTAGACAGATTTCACTGCAATGCCTCTCTGATCTGATAGTGCAGAATTGCAGGGTCTTTTTTTTGGGCAGGGATCCCTCTTGGATTAGTAAGTGACGCAAAGATTGCAGAGTCCATCCTGGTGCCTTCAGACGGTGGTGGGCCAAATATTGCCCTCTCTACCTGCACATCTCTACTGACAGGAATTGTCTGCCCACATGGGACCTTGGGACTGCTGTTCATACACATTGTCCTTGGAAATGTGATACCAATCTATTGCACAAAGACTACAGAAGAATTGCACTGATTTTTTTTTCTTTTTGCTTTATAGAAGATAGTGTTCCCTCAGTGTGATAGATACTGAACACGACTTTTGCTCAGGCTGCAAATAGCAAATTACTTAATCATCAACTATTTAAGTACCTGTTTGTTTTGTCATGAAGTGAAACTTGCGAGCAAGATCGTATTACATGTAAAGTGGCTTCTTGCATCCTAAATACTAATCCTCAAGTAAAACCAAATTAAAGCTTGTCCCAGGGTCACTTTAGTAAGTCTGAGCTGATGCATCCCACTCTCTCGTATCCTACATTAAATGTTCTTTGCCTTGTCTTTGTGCCAACACCAACATTTCGCAGCCTCTGAATGACCTTGGCAGAAGGATGGGGATGCAAGCTGGGAGGGACCCAGTCCTGGGAGGGCACAGGAGCCACTACCAGCCACTGGCAGCAGGAACAGGGCTGAAAGGTACAGCGAGCCCTGCAAGGGACAGGGGTTTGCTAAGCACCTGTGGTCTTAAGATGGAGATGATGGGAAATGTTAAGGCGGCAATTGTGAAACGGGAGAAGCCCCTGAAAAGGAAAAAGCACAGAAACATAGGGTAGTGGAGACTCAAGGTGGAGGAGAAAGAGTGGAACTCCGCAGGGGACTATGCAAGAAACAGGGATGTGAAAGGAAGTGCAGGAGCAGGAGCGGCAGGCGAGAATCCACAGGAGGGGAAGGGAGGAGGCCGGGGCTGGGGTGTGCGGACACAGGCAAGGCAGCAGGTGTGTGGAGCGGGGAGCCGAGACGGGATGGGCCTGGGAAGAGCGAGGGCTAAAGGGCGCGCTGCTCCCGCCCAGCGCCTGGTACGGCCGGTGCCAGCTGAGTGCGGGAGCGAAGGACGCGCTCCCGGAACGCGTGCCCGGCCCGGGGCTCCCGGGGAGCGGGCGCCGGGCCGGCCCCGGCTCCCCTCGGCCGCCGGGGAACCCGCCCGCTGCGGCCGCCCCCGGGGAGGGGCAGCG